ATGGCGCTCGCGGCATACTTTTTTCCATTCAACACCCAAGAGAATAAATTTCATGCTTTTGTGCGGCTTAGAACTTATATTTTGTCTACTGAATTATGCAGCAAACAGTGAGAAGCGAGAAGAGGGGCATGCCCTGGCTGGACCGCGGAAAAGACCCTAGAAGATTTGGATCTCGCCGATGATGACTTATGCCTAATATCTTATGTCACACAAACCCGAAGATCTGCACATGAAAACTAACAAGTTGACAGAGCAGGCAGCAAAGACGGGACTTCAGGCGAACGTAGAAAAGACAGAGGTGATGAAGATGCTCGACCAACACCACCATCAACAACGACAAGCTCCAATCACCATCAACGGGAGAAATCTGAGGGAAGTTGTCTCTCTCACCTGCCTTCCTGGCAGCACTGTCTCAACTACAGGCGACGACGGCACAGATGAGGATGTCAAAGCCCGGATCGGAGGGGCAGCAAGACAGGATTTCACCTGCCTGAAACCAGTGTGGAGATCTACTGCACTCAGCATGAACGAGATCCGGATTTTCAACACCAATGTCAGTCAGGTCAGTGCTTCTATGCGGTTCAGAAACTTGGTGCGTTACGAAAGGGACTTCCAGCAAACCACAGACATTCATCAACAACTGCCCGCGCTCAGATGGTCAGAAAGAATAAACAGCAAGGGACTCTGGCTGGTAGCGAACCACCCAAGAGCCTATCACTCAACAAATATGCGGAAGGAAGTGGAGACGGATTGGGCATACACTGAGAAGGCCGGCTGGGGACATCACGCGCCAGGCCAGGCCCTCTAGTAGAACCCAGATGGGAAACGACGAGCCGGACGTAAGAGGTTGACATGGAGGAGATCGTGTGAGGAAGAAATGAGAGCTTGTGGGCTGTCGTGGAGCCGGGTTCAAAAGATTGCGGAGAACAGAGTGGAATGGAGACGTGCCACTGAAGCCCTATGTTCCGCTAAGAACCCCAGAGACGAACAGTTATATATTGATAGCATGCCCATTTTCATATAGGATAATTTGGGTGCACTCGTTATTGTGAATATGTTGTGCAGGGACAAGATTTTAGCTATCAACTGGCTAGATTCGGAAGTGGATTTGGGCGCTTCCACTTTAACAATTAGTCTGTTCGAAGTTTCAGGGAATCCTGCAGCGAAGAAATCTGCACACAAGATAATTTGTACTAGTTCATTTGACGCTGCAGACGTGACTGTGCACGTTGCAAGAACTGCCGTGTTTGAAATTAAGCATACCACTGGTCGTAAAAGTGAATTTACCGTGCATACTGAAGATGAGAACCGGGTTAATTTTTGAGCAGTCCCATCCAAAGTTGTTCCCCACTTAAAGTGCCACGTCTGAAATTGCAGCCCCGCATGCAATCGTATCCTGGTGAAATAGCTATGAAATACCTTCGAACACCATCTATTTCTAGTTTTTCTTCAGTGCGGATACCACTCAATGTAAATGGACGATATTTTGATGGTCAAATAGCTCAGTTTTTAGGGTGCAATAATCTCAATTCTTTGAGGTGAAAGTTATGGACTATGCAACTCATTAAGATCATAGATTTGCCATTCTATGATGTGACCCGTCCAGAAAACTTGAGGTCACCTGGACGTCGTAGACACTATTAAGAACGGGTAGTTCCATAGACTTAGAACGTAGTTGGCTGTCTACCGGTGGAGCACCAAAACATATATAGCCACGTTTGGTAGTACTAAACGAAAGTTGCCAAGAAGTAGACCATGTAGACATTATATCAAGCCTCCTTTGTACTAATATTCGGGAGTGGAAAAAATCACTATGGGTGAAGGTGTAAGCAAACTGAAGGTCATCAACAAACGAAAATGGTTAAATGTGTGTAGAGAGGCTGCAAATGTCACTGGCATGCGTAGTAAGGAGAAGGGAACCTAACACAATGCCTTGAACTGCACCAGGAGTAATTGGCCTAGGTGTTGAAGCGCGTGAGTCTGACTTTACCACTTGAATGCCGTTACCAGGTAAAAAAAATCCATCCTAATAGTGGACAGCCAATTCCCAGAGACTTTAACTTACTTACTAACAGTAAGTGATAATCCATGCCAGAAGGTCCTTTAAAATGTCTGGATAAGGTACAAGGACTGATTGGTGTCGGTCTCATATAGTTGTTATGAATTTGAAGATGTCAAGATGGCAAGTTATGCGCGACCTCTGTTTTAAGAACTCAAGTTGACTCAGTGTGATTATGTTGATGCTAAGCACGTGCTGAAGAATGCTTTCCTTAATAACTTTCTCCATAGTTCTAGAAACTGCAGGCGTAATATTGATTGATCTGTAGTTAACGGCTCATGCTTTTGCGCCAGATTTATAACTAGGTTGGATAAATGATGCCTGTCAGATATCGGGGTGTGTGAAAGATTCTAAAGACAGGGAAAATACTCTAAGCAATAGCGACGGAATATCAAGGCCACCAAATTTAGAGAAGAGTGACGATGTGTCTTCTGTCCCACCGCTGCTAGAGCATTTTAGCGTCCTAATGGCCGCACCTGTTGGCGTTGGTGGAGGAGAAGAATGGCCTTCAGTAGTGCAGACCATATTAGTATCACACGAAAAGTTTGTAGGTTCCAGATAACTAAATGCAAATGTCTCTAAATATTTCGCACATATCCACTGGATCATTATAAGCTTCGGTGTCATGTATAAGAAGAGGAATGTTATGTCTTATGTAATTCGATCGCTTCTTGACGAATGCTTAGAGAGCGTATACTCCGCATGAGCTAGCTGGTGCAGTGCTACCTTCACTCTTCATACACAAATCGTGGTTATGCGAGATGGAGTCAAGAATACCGAGGATGAACAGAAGTTCATCGAAGTAATGACGCCTGTAGTACCTCGTCGAGAGTTCGCGTAACTTTTGTCTGGCAGTGGGAGGTATATATGGCTTATTGTTTGAGGGCGTTCCTTTGAAACCTTCCAATGGAACAATGGTACTGAGATATATTTGGAGTTGTAGAAAGATATGTCAAAATGTATGAGACCACCGCGCCTGTGGTTCCTTTGATCCCGTGGTATGTCATAATGATTTCAATGATTGATTGTTTAGCTGACAGTTTGCAACTCACTCCCAGGAGGTGGTTTTAGAGAGGTGTCAAAATGACAGACAGTAATATATGAGCGTGCCTTTCGTAGAACATGCGAAAAGCCATGACAAATGGATCCACAGCTTTCATAAGGATCTCCGTGGGTTTTGGAAAAGATTCGGTGCTGATAAGTTGATGAACACAATGAGGAGTTTTCGAAAGTTTCCATATGGCTTTTGAAATGTCACCTCATCACATGCTTAGCAGTTAATGAATGTGTAGAAGCTATTCAATGGTGTTTTGCCCTCCGCAGTGGGTAGATGTCGATTGCGCTACAACTGTAGAAGGTTGGCTCTAAATTGAAAATCTCAAAAGTTGCGCCTGCATCAGAGTCAGCTCAGCGTGCATGTGAAGACGAAATGAAACAAACCTCTGTTTTGCCAAAGCACTGACGTGTATACTGACGCTCAAGGTACATCGTGGATATATTTCTACAAAGCCTAGTCTGCTCCTGTATCATCTATGAGTGATATGACTTCTTAAACTACTGCAAGAGTAAAACACGAACACCCAGGTGGAGTGCGCTTGCACAGTACATTGTTTGTTTAATGTAGTACGCAGTGATGCAGAATTGTCTGTTCGTTTATCATACTTCATCTCATCCTCCCCATCCAACTGTTAGGTAAGATATTGCATCAGCAGGTGCGGCAGAATTTCGGTTGATATAGTTATAAAACCAAGCAGTTGTTACTCTGCTGCAGGCATTCAGCAACACTTACTATTGTGTTAGTAAGTGCATGACCTTAGCAGTGTGTTTTCGGCACTTAGATGTACCAGGTGAAGTAAATTATGACAGCTCATACCGAAATTACTCATAACATAGGCACATGCTTAGGTTTATCATTCATTTACTGGCGTCGAGGAAGCCTACCTTGGCCAGAAACAAACAAAAACTTACAAAATATTGATGGAGTTTCCTGCTTTTAGCGAATATAGGGGAATTAGAGCAGATAGCCTAAAAAAGTAGTCTCAACAAAGCTGCAGCATACTGGTAATGGTGATAATAATGATCGCTTTATTATAAACAATATGTGCAACAGCGTGGGATTCCTAGCGTGTAATTTTCAACATGTTAACTCCCAGAACAATACTTTCAGACGGGACGGTTACTGTATCGGGATAATGTTTATTATAACAGTATTCAAGGCAATAATGTGAAACAGCCAGCTGGTTCAGGATGAGCATCCGGTCCAAAATGAAGAGTGAATAGAAATGCAAGCGTAATTTTGGTGATGGAAGTTCATTCAGATGGTGCGAAACTCTGCAACTCAAGCTAGGCATCTGAAGGATAGAAATATGATCAGCTTTTTTCACACCAAAAAGTACGTTTCCATATAACGTAACATTTTTTCTCTGCCTAGTTATTGATTATAGAAACGGAGTGGTAGGCAGTTAAGAGTAGATGATACGTTCAAAGGACATATTTAAAACAAATTGGGGGGGGGGGGGAGAGAATCTGATGAGAAGTGTCTGATGAATAGATTTGATAGGCCGTGGTTCAAGCAGTCCGCCGTTAACAGACTTACGGCAACTGTAGGCCAGCCCATCACCATGACGCTACTTTATTTAGAACTTTATGCTGGATCCGATGTTAATATGTAGCTCTCAAAGAAAAAGTACCATTTTGTTTGTGGTGTAAAGTTATTACCTGAATACCACCTATTCCTTAAAATGGTGTGAGCAAAGGCAGAGAGCGAACATCTTCCAAATATATACAGCACAAAAAAGCATTAGACAAGCACACTCGGCATGTGAAAAACAGAAGACTTAGCGTCTTTAGTTTTTAAATGCTTTATTTATGAATCTTCAGACGACCTTGGTTCTTTAAGGGATTTTAAATTCTCCTGACCTTGTAGGGGGAAAATGCTGAGATGTCTGTATCTCAGGTTAATGGTCTGAACTTTAGTCTTTTGCTTGATGAGATTGAATCAGGAAGCAGTGGGTCACTGGCGAATGTCATTCGCAAGCTACGCGAAAATGAAGTAGCAGCATACAAAGCGCATGTTGGAGGTCCGACTGGCGAGCTGATCGCAAGTTTCATTGCTGCTCTTGACTTACGTGCATCTGAACACAATGCTGAGATAGAAAAAACATGTAGTTATCATTATCAAAGTTTTGTAGACTCCACAAGAGAGCTACTTGATATACAACAAAATGCGGAAAGTCTGGAGAGAGGTTTACGGACACTGAATGTTGAATTGGAAGTAACTGTTAATAAAGTGAGGACATGGCATTTTTTATGTATTTTCCTAAGGGTAATTCTCAAAGAATAAAAAACTTACTGCTTACAATTAGGTTTTTAGTCTCTCTTTGCTAAATATTTAGCAAAGAGAATCCGTTTATTACCTTGCTACATATCAAGGTAATAAACGAACGTATAGAATTAGCTATTGAAACGGAAGGCAGGTGTTTTTTCTCTCGGATATCGTGACGAAAATGTAATTTTCCCAAGAGATTTGGGGTTTATTACGAACCTTGTAATTTACAATGTGAGTGCAAAAGGCTGACAACGTATATCACATCATAGAAGTGGTAAACTTGAATACGAAATGCAGCTCTCTTGTATCCAGAAGTTTCGGATGAAGTAACACTGAGGAAGTCGTATCTAGGGCTAGTGACAAGGGTTTTAGTTTCCCATCGGATTTTCTGGAACCGAATACCTATGTTATGGATTTTCTCCGACTCGTATTTCTCTAGTCTTATAAATAAACCAAAAGGGTGAACTGATAACACTTGTCAGGAGGTGTAGGAATTTGATAAAGTACTCCGTAGCAACATAGTTTGCCGTTTGTTACTAACCACTGTTTTCTTCCAGTCTTGTTGTAATCAGTAAGTTTGATTACGGTCTTTGGGCGAACCGCAGTGGTACACATATGATTTTGTTTATTCCTTGTTCAGAGTTTTCTATATTGTAGCGATTAATTTCCTTAAAATCTACGCTTTTTAGATGGAAACGTTTTCTGGAAAATTTCTGCCTACAATTTTGGAACAGTGGAAGAATTTTTTCGGCTGTCTTTAATAGCCAAAAAACCATAATTTTGAGTTGTACTCAATGGGTGACTTTTGAGATTACAAACCACTTGTTGAAAACCTTGGTGACATACATTAATCTGGGGGCACTTTTGTGTCTTGAAAGTAAACCACTTCCTTCCAGGCTGCATATTGAAGCATCTTTTATTGTTAGAATCTGGGATGAGCGTAAAATGCCTATGTATTATGAGGTCTTTCAAGGATGTCCATTTTCTTTTCTTAGCTTCGTTTTGGCTATGCTTATGACTGTTTCTCTCCGCTCATCAGAGTTTCCACTATCGGTTTCATCTCTTTAGGTCCTTTGGTTGGCTTGAACGACTCAGTCTTGCTTGACGGATTAAAAATGTAAAGTCTTCTGCACACACTGATTAACAGTTTTAAAATATGCGAAGTGCGCTTCTCACCTTCATCAAAGTAAAACCTATTTCTTTACAAACGGTCTGTGTTAATTCGTTGTTCGATAGTAAAGGGTTTTGGTTAAATATGCTGACCGCACCACTTATATGAGAGGTCAAACTATCGTTAGTGAGTCAGAGGTTGATAGGACGTCGACACGGATACAGCAAGCTCTACTGACTACTGTCGACTTTCGCCAGTTTCGATGCCGATGAAGTAACTAACTGCCCACTTAGGGTCAGTTATACTATACTGTAGTTCTTTCTACCCTTCCATATGATTTTGAAACCACTACTGAAAGTAGAGGACACGAAAATGCTCCAGACATTTGATTACCGTTACTCTTGTGGTACCACCTCTGTGGTGGGACGACCACGTGGGTAATGTAGAATTCAAGGATTATGCAGTAATGCCGGGTCCCACTTTGATACTGTCTAACTGAATGTATAGTCTTAATTATGAAGTTAGCCAGTCCATGAAGTTGTTTATCTTCATCGATTAAGGTGATTGAAACTGCTGTTATGCACACCGTTCCTTTATCTGTCTCAATGCGTAATGTTTGACGAAGTACATTTAGGTTAGAGGAAGCTTAAAGTGCTTGAAGTCTTCGACTACCCTGCGACTTAGGTCATTTTGCAGTAGGAATACCTTCTAAACATCATCATTCTAGTGATATATAGTGGTTGATAAAACTAATGACAAATATTAGTGCATACAAGTGGACGTATCGGTCTGTCTACCTGTTTAAATCAGCATTTAAAAGGTGGTGGTTAACAAGTGCTTTCCTTAGATGATTGCTTAGAGTTTTGTTTTATCACGTGTCAGCCCCTTCGCTATTTAGAACGGCATATTTCGTGCTATCAAAATGTCAGGGGACGTCCAAGTGTTAGGTATACTTCCATGACACTGAATGGGGAAGATGAATTTTAAAGGCATTCATCACATGCTTGAGTTATAAAATGTCAGTGAGCAGCGTTTGCTCATGTCAGTTTGTTGTTGGCTGTCACGGCCCCAATTTTACGTCCAATGTAATTTATTCTCAGAATCATAATTATATAAATGGTTTCTAGAAATTTTGGAGTTATCTTAATATGACTATGGATAGTAAGTTATGTCCAAACGTTATCCAGTAAATAACACTTTCATTGTGTGATACATCTAATAGGAATGTGTACAAAGTCTCAATCAACAATATTAGTTGTCATCTATAATCGTTGTAATTGACGTAAATGTAAGGTCAAACCTATCTTTTTATAAGATACGATAAAGATGTGAGTGATACTACCTCACCAACTTCAATTTCTTCAGGTATCAGATTTATTCAGAGAAGCAGTTAAGAGTTTTCTTTTTCACCAGTTCTTGGCTTATGATAATCCGTAATTAGACCTCATTTAAAATATTAGCGTACTTTCATTGATGTCTTTAAATCATAGCTCGCATGCAACAAGACTGTTAAGTAAAAAAGCACTCAGTTTTTCTCAAGGAGAGTATTTCATCCATTGAAATGGTTGACATGTAACTGTTGCCCTCACCAGTGCGTACTAACTCTTCTAAATCCCAAAAATAACTTTATTTTAACCCCCTTATCGACGGTTACTTTTGCATGTTTAGTACCTAGGTTTTTGTTATAATACTATTCAACACCATTCCTGTTTGTTATTTTTTATCGATTGCCTTTAAATTGTGATCTCTAAAACTATATATTGCTGCTTGAAGTTTTGTTGCTGAGTTTCTCTCATCTATGGATACATCATGACTGTTGGAAAATTTGATGGTACGCAATACGTCACAGAGTGAATACATTTATGAACTCCTAGTTTTGAAAACCTGATTGGCAGGGGTAGGTAGAATAGTCAGTAGTGGATAAATGCACTTCCTGAAGCGATATTGTTTTTGGATACACTGATGAAGTTCCTCTGATTATGTAGGTGTCAATTCGATTGAGTAAGTTAGCTGATGCACATTTACCTTTTCCAAAAGGCATGAAAAATTCTAGTAGTTTCTTAGCATACTGTTGATAGGTATCTTGTGCTTCTTAGACTGAGTAATAAATTCCATGCTTGATTTGTGATACACAGTGATATAGTATTATTTACTTGATGACGTTTGGAGCATAAATTATTGCTCATAATCACATCAATAAATGAGATTCTGATTAAATTGATATGATTATGAGCAATAATTTATGCTCCGAACGTCATCAAGTAAATAATACTATATCGCTGTGTATCACAAATCAGATAAACAAATCTAATATGGAATTAAATTCTACCACAGTGTCCAAGTTTTACACATATATTAATAAGAGTAATTAAGTTATGTTGCAATCCAGCAACAGGGCGCTGAGATCATGTATTGCTTTATTACTCATACGTAGTGTGGGTCCAGAATACTAAACAGTTGCTCAGGTGGAGTACAGTTTAAACCCACTTCAATATCTTGGTGTTGAATGCTTAGCCACTTAAGTGTAACTTTGCCTACATTGACTTATGGAATTTTGGACCAGGTAAGATTATATACGACCACTTGGTGTCATTCAGCTCAGTAAAACGTTTGGGACTTAATATCGAAATCGTCTCTCAGACTATGTGCATTACCATAGTGATGTTAACTGCCCAGATATGTTATATGTTTTGCATATTCTCCACCATTATCTGTCTCTCTACTATGTTTTTAGAACGCTTTACTAAAGCACTTACTTTTGCGTTGTGTAAAGTGAAAATTGTTTTGTTGAATTTATTTTCAGTTTAGCGAATCTTGTGACAAATTAGCTGCTTGCAAACAAACTTTGGATCACGTCAATCAGTGTATTGAGGCAATTCAAATCAGTCTTCCAATATTAGAGCAGTACTCTCGCATTGAGCAAAGCATTGCTGATGGAAGGTATTACCACGCCCTGAAAAATCTTGAAGACTTAGAGCACTCTCAGCTGGATCTCATACGCCCTTTCGCATTTTCCGAAATAATAATACATCGCATACCGAAAACAAGAACGGGCATCAAGGTAAGCTTGGTTGAAATACTAATTTTCTTCTCTTTGGAGTTTAAGACGTAGTTACGTTGCATATTTTTCGAAAAATGTCTCCTTACTAATTTGTATTTGTTTAACTTTACTAGTCCTAATAGCAAGCCGAAAAGTAACTTAGTTATGGTGTCATTGAATAACTTACAATATCACAAAACGCATACGTTTATGCTTTTCAAGGAAGTGACATTAACTGAGTCCTACTATTCGGCACTCCCTCGTTTGGAACTAAAATGAGGTCTACATTTTTAACCTGACTGACAGCCAAGAGCATAATATCCACTGTTCTTTTAATTGTCTGCTTTTTAAGTCTGGATACTTGAATTTATCCAGGATAATGTATCCCTTCATTACGGTAACTGACATAAATTTGACCCATTTCAATTGAGTCAACTGGGATATTTACCGTCTGAGGGTCACCTATGAGTGCAACAACTTTAATTACGTAAATTTGTAATTGTATCTGGCGATTTATCTGGGAATAATTAAACGGAAAAAGGGAATCTACAAAGGGTGAATGTCTGTCAGATACTGGAGCCCATTAAACAATGAGGGTTAGGAAGACGTTTGGAGACCTCTTTGAAAAGTAAGAGTTGTTGGTCAATTTTGATAAATGAGGAGAAGAAAACTACTCATAATTATTCCAAAATGTCAAACATTGTCAGGAAGTGTTCATTTACTTAATATACGGCTACAGGCTCGACGCTTTCTATTCCTACTTTTTTAATGGTACGAATGATTTTGGTTTGCAAATTGGTTTCCTAACGAACAGCTTCTACCTTTATGTGGACGTCAGGCCTACCTGTCACAGTAACCCTACGATCTATGCTGGCAGGGATGATTATCCTTGAGGTCCTACCGTGCCGGAAAAATCTCTTGGATACTAGTTAGAATGAAAGCAATAATCATCCTAGTGGGTGTCTAGTAGCAAGGTCGTACTACTGACTGTATAAATTGTGACAGCAGCAAAGTGCTTCTCCTGAATAACCAGGATTCTATGACAATACTGTTTACCTTTCGTGGAAGGATGATTCAAAAAGATACACTCTAACAGTAGCACACTCCTGTCTGCCCCGCGGTTTTCTGGTGCAGGCACCATAAGCGTTTTCGGTCGGGACGTAACACAATGAATTCCAAACTGAAACTATGAAACGCTTTGTGTGACTAGCTTCAAGCAGATTTCAACCATAGGTGTCCGCAAAGGATGTCCACTCTCACCATTCCTGTTCAACGTTCTCATAGACTTAGGAATGAATATAACTTTAAGTACTGTACATAAATGGAAGGAAGGCGAGCCACTCAAAGAGCTTGTGAACCTTCACCGACTGAGGTGCTCTATATACCTTTGGACATACTGAGCCGACAGCTACCTCTGCGTGCAATGTTAGGCGAACTAGAATTATGTTGGAATAAGCCACAGGGTAGCCAAGCTAAGATGTGGCACCAGTTCATGAAGTCTTGCTGTTGATCTGAGCCTTGTAGAGAAGTGTAGGCTACCTGACTGGAGTCCTCGAGATAGCATGAATCAATGGTTGGAGACTCGGTGTTACAGCGTGAAGTCGGCCACAGTGAAGTAGATGAGTACACACTTTGTAGTTTTCACAGTCTTGTATACTCTCCCTTGCTTTCCTCTATTTGTACTCCTTACTCAGACACTTCGGTCGTTCGTTTCCTGTCCACCTGTTTTCGCATGCTGCTGTTACGTGTGATAACTTGAACTTCTTCACTTTGATCCAGGTTCTTCGTTGACCTGTCTTTGTGACGGGATGGCCTAACAGATTTCCGGAGACCTCTCTCTAGCTTTATGTTAGTATTTTTCATATGCGAATCATACGCCAAAATAAATGGGAGAATTTATTTCAAAAGCCACGGATTCCCTTCGTAGATGTATTCACTCCTTGACATCTTCTAAAGCTTAAATGTTCTCAATAACCCTTGTTTTCAGATTGCTTAGTCTTTCATACAATTTTGTCTACTTTGATATTACTTTTTTTCTATCCACCTGTGTACTATTTTGAAGTGTGCCAACTTGGACTGATGCACATGTGTGCGAAATTCTACGTTGAGTTTGTCAGTCGGTCATTCAGTCAGTCACTTGATAGACGTCTTGAATACTTTGCGTTACTTTTCTGGTATTACTCAGATAAAGACATGAGTTCACTGTGAAACTGTATTTTCTAAGGTGGATGGTTTACTTTTTACGAATTCATTATCGTGCTGGATAGCATTTATAGTCTTAACTTCAATGGTCCTATCGTTTTTAGAAAATTGACTTACTAACATTATTGGAAAACAGTGTGTAAGATTGGTTGTTTTCATCATCAATTAAAGTGATTGATTTCGCATCCCACTTGAATATTTGTATTGTTTTTTTGGCTAGTTTACTTTGGATTCTATGTTTCCCTGGTTGATAGATTAGGTTTAGTTTAGTATGCTTGTGGGTTTCCAAGGAATCTTTATATTCTTCCAGCATATTTCATGACCTTAGTTGCTGATACGTATGTCACTGCTTTATATTGTTTATCAGTTTAGTGGTCTTGTAGCGAAAGATGAAGAGAATAATCTTTCAAATGTGCTTTCTATCCTACAGCAGAATAAACAGTCGACCGAAAAAACTACATATGCATCAATTCTAGATATTTATCTGTCTGAACTATCGGCGCAATATTTAGACATCTGTGTCATTATCCAAAGGTAGCGAGAATGAGTGTGAAGACATGTTTCTGTGTGTAGACGTCCTCGCTAGTTGGACGATAACGGAGACATCAAAAACATGGATATGCCAGAACTCAACCCCTACATAATACAGAGCACACTTACTCCTGGGTACCTGTCTTGCAAAGAAATTGTTGAATTCACTAGTACATAACATGTAAAACCGATGGGTTTACTTCTTGCTTTTGCTGATTAAACTCTTGGAAAACGATGAAAGCTCACTTTGAAGTATGAACTGATTCGTTTGTATCTAACATGGAGGTAGTCAGTTTTACGGAAACTTTCGACGCCTAAAGCAGAGAAGGATCTGAATGAAATAATAAATATTCCTCATTAAATTTGATTTTTTCTTGATGCATGAAAACCAATTCTGTTTACTGTAGTCGTTTTTATCATTGACTGCTTAAACAATAGCAGCTGTCTTGCTTTTTTGAATTATTTGTTTGTTTAGAACGCAAGTCTTGGTGAATTAACTGATTTTCTTGAATATATAAGGAAAAATTCTGTAATTCTCGGCGCTTTTGCTATGCAAGAAGCTGCTCGCTCATCGGGGATTGATAGTGAAGCCCTGGTTGATACTCTGGCGACTAATGGATATAAAGAAGCACCTCAAGACAAAGAGTCGAATGCAGAATCACGTCAACAGCTGTCAGTGAATCCTAAAGTTCATCAGAAAGGGCTTGGTTAGTTATAACAGTTAATAATAATAATAAATTTGGATCCCAATTGATCTGAATATACTCTACATATATCTATTTTGAAACTATTTTAAACCTCACACCTTTTTGGCTACTTTATTTTTATTTGGACTTGTAGACGTAATGTGTGCATGAATGAAATTAGTCGTGGACAAAACCTGTATTTACTATGAAGAAATTTCATAGTAAAGCTGGGATTAGTGATTATGGTAATGGAACAGTAGGGTAGTGGAAGTAAAAGATACCATTCCACTACGCTGTATGTGGTCGAGTGTCATTGTTCCCCGCCACTTTAAAAGTATAGCTTTCGTATGCCATAATACCGCTAATATACAGTCTATTCTCTTGGATCTCTTAGCACAGTACCTTGATGTGGTGTGGTAAATGCAGTGAAGACGTGAACGCATTTGATTCTGAGCCATATTAAATGCAGTTTTCAACTGTCTTGTCCAGTTGTCTCTAGTGAAGAGAAACAATCAATCTGACTGCCTATCTGGCTCAGACCAACAGCCCACAGCCCACAGCATGACAGATTAAAGCTACCTGTTGGCTTATTTATTCTTTACCTTCTTTTGGTTTAATCCGACTCTAGTTAAGATTGTACACTGATAGATGGTGTTCAGGCATGAATAACACATATAGTAACCATTTAAATCAATCAATGTTATGTCGTATGGATGCCATAAACAAATTGATTAAAACTCGAAACTATCCCAATCGGCTTCGTGGCTTACATTGTAGTACGTGAATGTATTCAGTATACCTGTTATGACGTTTTTGTTTGATGTGCTATACATGTGATTTGTGAAATATTACATTAGTTTCGTTACATATTTCAGAAGATGTATTTCTCATGCATTGTGTATTCAATTGTTTCATACACCTTTACTTTTTCCGCTTATATAACTAGTTGAACTTTCGTTATGTAAGGTTGTGAATAAGAACAAGACATGTTTCAGCGAAGAAATATCTCTTTTCAACGACTTCATTATCAAGCTGTACAGTCGTATTTATGATTGCTGATACATATCTTCTTAATCATGAATAGGTGGGTACATTTAGTCATATATATATATATATATATATATATATATATATATATATATATATATATATATATATATATATATATATATATATAATGATAATTTAGCGGTTAGATAGACAAAACAACCCACAACTCAAAATGCAAGGTAGAATTCCGGATATTCAAACAACTTACAGCTAAGATAAGTCCGCAAAAGTTGGATAATGGTGCTCGTAGTAGTGACAGTACTGATGGATTGAGAGGAAAACAAAAGTAAACCAAATTCAAATCTAAATAAAAAGTGCAAAATATTCGACTTTTCATTACATATGGAAATGTAGCAAATTGACACATCTTCATCGATATAAATAACTTTGACATACTTTGTACATTGTATCCAGCAACTAATTCCACTGACCTCTCAGATCCAAAGTCTTCAGTCTGTATCGAGTGACTTTTTTCCCAGTCTACTGTATCTAACCTGTTGATATGATCGCTGACAACGTATTCAATGTATTACTACTTCCCTTCCAATCAGTTCATTTTCTCAATTCAATTGGTTGCTTCACCTTATTTAGCAGTTCACACTTTGAGTATTCAACCTGTGTCTTACACAAAAAATCTTCAAAACGGCTTTGGTCAAATATTTATACACTCTACTGGCAGTATTCATGTAGTATGTTTGACAACTATGGTAGTATCGTGTGCATTATTGGGCTGTCTAGTTTCTTAGATATCTATGGGTTTGGTCATCGCCGCAGGTTATGTTTTCTTCGTGTTCGAAATAAAAAATAACATACTTGCCTCACTTCGGTGGATAAACTACTTCTCCATTCATCAACAATATCTCAAGGATCATCAACTGATTACTTTCTTATTGAAGACTGAGTTGAAATGTAAACCAACTGGATGAATATTATGCGCAAATCAAACACTTGTTATCGAAGGTTTGTTAACAACATCATATTGATCAGTTTATCAGTTAAGTTACTCGGAGGACTCATAAATTTCGAATGACAGGCAAACTGTACGATGCATCTTCTTTGGTTTCAATATAACCCTAACCACAGTCACACCACTGATTGGAAGAATGTAAAAGTTATGAAAAATGCAATCTCAAACGTCTCCAGAGATTTTTTAAAGCCTGCTATTTGATGAGATGTCAATCAGTCGACATATGGACATAAATCGTATCTGCAATCTACTTAAGAAGAGATAACTTTCTTTCTACCAAATTAAGTAATAGTAAAGGATTTTAATGGTAAAAAAATACTAAGTTTTCACTTCAATTTGACTCAACAACATATCAAGGTCTTAAGAGTTCAACATCTTGCAAGCTTTTCCTTCAACGTGAAATTTGCCTCCAAAAGTCAACAAAACGGCTACCTCAATAGTCGTTGAAATAAAACTAGGCTTTATTGTTGAATGGAGTTAGTGCTTCTGAATTCGTCAAGACCAATGATGAAGCAATTGGAATGAAATACTAGTGTTCTTTGAACATCAAACTTTTATCGAGAAGATTTTAGTTCCACTCATTTTTTCCTTTTGCTTAATTAGATATTTACAGTGGTACTACAGTGTATTTTGAGATGAATGGGGATTTTAATTTTGAAGTAATATTCAATATGGACTGACATCAGTTGGAGAATCCTAGCCGAGTCGTGGGTGCGTACTGCTGAGGAGTGCCACACTAGGACGAAACAGCTGTCCAGTGCTCCTAGGTTTTCAATGGTTCTGCAATTGATGTCAATCTGTGATGAAAACTACCTCAAAATGGTACCATAAGTCTTCCGACTATATTTTATTGCATATTGCTGTCTTTTATTTCTGTTATCTCCTACTCCCAGTTGGTACAAATGCAGAAGGATTAGAACATGAACTGGAAATGTTAACTCAAATTGTCACTGCAGCGAACAGATCACCCGACAATGAAAATGAATTGATACGATCTCGATTAAGTAACAGTAGCTGTAATACAGGTCATTCAAAAGTTGAAGATCTAGTCGATTTTGGACCAGTTTATCGTTGTTTACACATTCATTCCGTTTTAAATGAACGAGCTGAATTTGAGAGACACTATTGTACTCAACGACGAAAACAGTGCCAATTAGCGTTGAGTTTATCACCAAATCAACAGGTAAATATTATTTCGTGTATGTTTTCATTTTAAATGCAATTTCAGTGATTGATCACTGGAGAATAATTGATTCCACGCTGTCTGGTGCCAAATACTCACCAAATTCTGTTGTTCGTTGTTTGATGTTTTCACCAAGCTTTATATATATATATATATATATATATATATATATATATATTCGTAGGGTAGAGTTCTTTAGCTTCTGCATATAGTGACTCCTCAAATATCCCCTGAGTCAGGTTTAAAAGCCTTCATCCTTTTTGTTTAACCTATAGGCGTTCCCTTTCATTGATAACCATTACGACTGATTGGAAGTAACGCTTAGATTTTCTAAAATACGTTTTTTTTTCCATTCCATTATAGTCAGAGTAAGTTTGGGTTATTTGAGTTTGTCACTTAGATACTTTAAAATCTTGCTGTGCAATTCGAATTAATGTCATTAATCTCTCCCGTCATTGGCTTTCGCTCAAGGCCCCACTCCAACGATGGATAATTATGAAAGCCATTGGTCAACTAGAGGCATTTAACTAAGTTTGCTTTGGATCGAATGGATATTTGTATACTGACCTATAGATATATGGTCTTCCTGTAAACACATATGACTTAGCGAACGATCTTCTCTTCTGCCTAGGTAGACATCCAAAAATCGTAGTTTACGCCTCATTAAATTTCTTTAGCACTTCGTTTCTACCCACTTTCTGATCCAGAATAATGAATTTGTCGTCAGTGTAAGGGTGATACATATTCATTTAACTAAGGACATCTTTTAACCCTCTATTCTTCAGATTGGCGAGAAAGATGGCTAAAATTGGGCGATGTGGTGAACCTATGGTTATACAATCAATCTGTTTGTAATTGATGTTATTGAAGAAAAAGTGTGCACTCATAGTGCGTTTAAGAAGCAATTCCTTTGGGATAAGCCCTAAAATCTCGATATTTGTTGACACATGAACTCTACTGTCTCCAATAATGACACATTGGTGAGTAGTGATGAGACATCAAATGACATCACATGTTTCCCGTTTACATTCACCTTACCTAGCTTAGAAATAAAATTGAAAACATCTTTCACATTGTTATTTACCAAATTTTTGTGTAAGGGATCTGAAATCTGTGCTAGCCACTCTGTAACTCCATGGTTAGGAAAGGGGCAGATACAATCCATAAGAAGTTCTGTTTTATCTCATCTGGTTGTTTGTGGCCACTCAATAGATAAAAGCAATGCTTTCAAGATTATTTACCGCATACCACTCAGTCTTTCGAAAGGTATTTGAACTCGTCTTTTACACATAGCAAACGCTTTTGGGATTCAATCTAATAATCTTAGTCTTTGTGTCTAAAAGTTTGCATATCCTTTATCTCTCCCTTGGCCAGGGAATACGTAGTAAACAGCTTTGTCATTAGGTTATCGGAGCGTCTACATTACCATGCTTTTATCTTGGTTCTTATCATCATTATCATCTGTGTTACACTTGCTTTAATCAACGTTGTCATCATAAGTGTCAACGTTATCATTATTTAATACACTATTTTTTAAATAATCACCTTTATTTTAAAACACTTTTTACTGACCAACAAATCTACATCATTTGGTTCAATTCTTATATATATATATATATATATATATATATATATATATATATATATATATATATATATGCATCTGATACTAAACATAAATCACCACAGTTTTACGTTACGATGATGAATACACTGCGATCATGATCAATAAACTTCTTTCGGTATTCAAATCTTTGTGGTTAATAATGATGATAATAGTAACAATAATAATCGCTTTATTCCAAACAATATGTATGATACAATATGCAATTTTTGTCATGTAATTTTTCAACAAAGTCAACCCTAGAATAATGTTTTCGGACTAAATGGTTATTACATCTGACTGATGTTAATAATAACAGTATTCAAGGCAATAATGTGAAACAACCAGCTGGTTTTTGATTAGCGTCCTGTCAGTAATAAAGAATCAACCAAGCCGAGCGTAGGTTTGGTGGTGGTCGTGGTTCAGTCGACTAGTACAAGAATCTGCAACTCAAGCTTAGTATTCAAGCAATAGAAATATAATGTACTTTTACTCACAAAAACATTCATTTTCATATAACGTGACACTTTCTCTGTTTGTTTTAACTCAAGAAACAGCGAGTTAAAAACATTTTAAAAATGTGCAAGAGTACATGATATGTGCAGATGATTAAAATAAGTTGAAAAGAAAAAAGTTGATATATATTTTCGGTGAAAAAGTTTAGTAGCCCATGGTTCAAGCAGGCTGTCGTTTGGTAACTGGTATGTTCCTGAGTGCTTCATAGTGTACGCTCTTCAGACTAGTAGCTAACTCAGACACCAAAAGAGTGTTTTATATAAATGTGGGGCTTCCCAACGGTAACCGATTCTTGTACATATTTCAGTCAATCAGACGATCAATCATGACCTAAATAAAGTATTATGATGTCAGTGTTCGGTGACATAAGCTCGAGGGAACACGAATGTCCTTAATGTTGCAGGTACACCTTGTTGATCCATACCAACGAGAAAAAAATGTTAGGTCAAACAGTTCTTTAACCGATTGCCCTTTGAGATTTGACTCTAAATTCCTAAAAAATTTCGCTTATTGTTCGCTATTTATTTTGAATACAAAGAATGGGATTGAAATTTATCACATTTTATTCTTACTCTTGGTTTATGATGATATTTGATTTACACGTTGATTAGGTTTTATCAGCTTTTCAGAGATAACATTTTAGTCGTGACAATTTACAAAAATACTCAGGTTATGTAAGGAGAACAAATCAGATCTTCAGTGGTCCAACTGTTCATTGTTTTACACTCCCCTCTTCAAAACCAAGCAGGCTAATACTCTGAAATGCATTTGCAAAGAACACGTTTAGTGCGTCCAGTGTAACTAACTTCACAAGAGCAAATGGACTTGTCGATACACAGTGAGTTGCCTCAAATCAGTAGCGTATTCCTCACACATTCATGTATTGGTTGTCCTCCAGAAAAGACAATCCAAAATTCAGAAGATTGTCTTTTTTGAAGACCTAAAGAGTTTCCCTTCGGAGTTTTGACTACAATATCACCTTTGATGTATACATCCATAAATGGTTTTTAAAGAACTATTGGAAGTCGTTCGGTATACCGTTTTGGCTTCCGACAGACAGACAAAATCAGCGTATAACATCGCACACAGGTGCATCGGTTCAAGTTGCCACACTTCACAGCATTATGCAAAAAACAAGCGAACAGAAAAAAAGTGATATCAAGGTAGATAAAGTTGTGTGAGAGAATAAACAATCTGAAGATAAAGGTTAGTGCGAATATTCAAGGTTTAGATGGCGTCAAAGAGTGAATGCGTGTGCGCCACTGTGACGCGCTCCACCACTTCACGCTTACTTTCATTAATCAGGTGTGAAACGCATGTTAAACATACTCAAATTTCTGTTCAACGCGTTCAGAAGACCCCGCATTTTTTCAGTGTCATCACTTAGCAGGACAACGTCGTCCACTTACTCCAAGTCAACCGAATGGTCTCCAGGGAGCAGGTTAGTTCTAGTGAAGTCAGACGTATCTAAAGTTATGTCCATTAGTAATTTTATAACGAAGTTGAATAATAATGGTGACAGTGAACATCTATGACAGACACCACTAGTTGTCGTCAACTTACATGAAAACTCTCCATAAGCCCTGGCGCGGCTGTGTGAGTTCGAGTAAAGAGCTTTGATAAGCACTATATAGTTGCTCGGTTTTCCCTTCACAAACGGTGCCAGAATACCTTACTGTGTACAGAATCGAATACCGCCTTCAGGTCAAGGAATGTGGCAAGTGTCGGTCACTGGCGGCTAAGTATGTCTGTGTTCCATAACCCGTCGGAGGGTGAAAGTGTGGTCGATACGCCGTCATTCGGGTCTGAAACTTCTCTGGTTTTCTCGAGTTTCTGTTCTCGAGCTTTAATTAGGCATCGGATACTCATGCATCCAAAGATCTTGGACGCTGTTAGTCAAATTGTTTCCCCTATGTTTGTCACAGGAAAACTTCTCTCCCTTTTTATAGACTGGAATCATTAGCGAAGTACACCAGTCTGATGGGACTAACTCTCCCATGCAATATCTATTACTTCCATCACTTTAATTGGCGATTTCCCGCCTCCGTCCTTGAAAAATTCAGGTGGCTAACTGTCAGGTTCTGCAGTTTTGTATCGCTTCGCGCCCAATACAGCCTCCTCAACTTCAAGGAGAGTTGGAAGACGGAAATTCACGTCCCATTCAAATTCAGACTGAGTGTCGAGAAGGTGAAGCGTTACTGGGGGTCAGTTGAACTGTGGATCAAAGTGTTCCGCCCAACATTCCAGCCGTCTGCCATGAGAGCTTATCAGCGCTCCATCCTTGTCGATGATAGCCTCACTGGCTATCCACCGTCTTCTTGCTGGTTTCCTTAATGAGCTTAAGTAATTGCCTGGTATTACTCAACCCTGATGCCTTCTCTGTCTCTCTCACTTCTGCCACCTACCACTGCTCGCGATCTTTGCGAAGACTCTTGGTCAATATACATTTATGTTGCTTTCACTCTTCATTATGGTCATAACTACCTTCAATGATTCCAACTGCATCAATCAGTTAGGATGAAGTTTGCGAACCTTCGGTTGTAGGTTACTTGTTGTCTTTACCACTGTTTCCACAGCAGACTTAATGTCACACCAGATTTCTTCAGAATGAGCATTGCTGTCACGTCCAGATTAATGATTACCTAACTCCTCCCTAAATGGGTTCTTCACGTCCAAGCAAGCGAAGATAGACTTTACTCTAGCCTGTTTCCTGCACTTAGTAAGAGGCAGACATGCACAAACCTGTACTAGCACGTAACTGGAGTTCAAACTGGCACTCCTGAAAGAGCGACAATACTCCACCGGTCTTCTGTAACGACGGCTTATAGGATTATAATGTGTTCATTCCTTGGTTTTTGTTAGCAGATGCCATGTGAAACAA